TAGTATTTAGTAACTTTCTTACACATATTTAATTTAAGTATGTTAAACTAACTCACTCGGTCACTCACTCACTCACTCTCTCTAACATAAGGTTATGAATGGCAAAGTCTTTTTCAAGTTTCATGATGGACGGAAATTGGTTCTGGAAACGGCATTAACAAGAGCACAGAGCAAGCACTCAGATAATCTTAGTGTGAACTACTTGGTTTTCTCCTTCTAAATACGTTCTACATTAATGCCTTTTAGTGGTCGTATATGTTGTAAGTGGTGCACAAGTACGGACTGCTGTGTGCATATAAAGGACACGACAAGGAGGTGCACTAGGTGCGCTACATTATTTCTGTTTTATGAGATGAAAAGGTGACAGGGCATGTCTTGTGACGACTTGGTATTAATAGCGATTGTAGTGACTGCTGTGATGACGGTTTGTGACAGTTCATAGGCCGCTCTTTGACAGTTAATAGACGATTCTGTGACAGTGCCTAGACGGCTCTGTGACAGTACACAGACGGATATGTGACAGTGAATAGATGTCTCTGTGACAGTTATTAGATGGCTCTGTGACAGTGAATAGACGGATATGTGACAGTTAATAGACGGACTTGTGCCAGTGCATAGATGAATCTGTGACAGTTATTAGACGGCTCTATGACAGTACATAGATGGATCTGTGACAGTTATTAGACGGCTCTTTGACAGTACATAGATGGATCTGTGACAGTTATTAGACGGCTCTGTGACAGTACACAGACAGATATGTGACAGTGAATAGATGTCTCTTCGACAGTTATTAGACGGCTCTGTGACAGTACATAGATGGATCTGGGACAGCTAATAAACGGCTCTGTGATAGTACATACTATCGCAGAGTCGTCGAAGCATTGCTACAGTGAAGTCTATTACCTGTCACAAAATCGGTCAGGTTAATTAGTGTCAGAAGTGAGTGAGCGAGTTATATCGCCAATATTTCAACCATTTCGCGACGAGAATAAATGATATATATAATTAATGAGAAATATAATGTTTGTTCTACAATGCTATACTTTAATATATGATATCCTTAAAAGTTCGCATTGAAGATCAATTTTATCGGCGTTTCGAAACGTATTCTCACACAGTTATAGAGTGAACAAATGAATCTAAGAGCACTCAATCATTGCATGTGTTATAGATAGGTTGATCGTCCATGTCATCTTGTCATTTGCTAAACGGTAATTAACTGACTGTAGTAGAGAATATTTATGTCGACTCTATCGATCGAGAATCTCCAAACAAGGAGTCTCTCATGCGCATTGCAATACCGTTACACTCCCATGCACAGTACCGTTATAAATGTTTGTCCAACTAACAGTAGCTGAACATTGTAAACAACCTCGGCAAAATCAAAGGGATAGCGTGACCTTACATTTTTTTAATATCACAACGATGACGTCATGTTCAGACATGATAACGGCAATAAACCTCCGTACATGCATCAATGTCAGCAAGCTGCAATTTGTGTACCGTGATTTCCATTGAGCTGTTCCTAGTTTATAGCAATTCAATATCCAGCCCTGTATGGAGTGAGCTCCTACAACTGAAGCTGTTTGTAAACAGACTCGTGGTACCGCCGTGGCATCGACTCAACTGTAGTTATGAGTGTTTAACATGGAGTCTTTATTTCATGCTTCTTCTGAAAAAGCAGGAATATACCTAACTCAAATTATTGCACAGATAAAACATGGCCTCCGTGCATGTCAATATTTGGTTTTTGTGTGATGCATGTCACACTGAACTTTAGAGATACTTTAAGCTACATTTAGTCGATTTGAGTCGTTAAAGGGAAACACATCACAATTATTCATGTTGAAACGTTTTCTCGTTGTTGTTTGACTGACATGTCATTTTTCAAAATTGAGAAAGATTATTTTAAAAACAAATTTTATAGATAGAGATTATTAAGTGTTTTCTGTCGTTTATCTGATATATTAGGAATCAAAATTGTGTCGTGGAAGTATAAATACCTGTCATTCAATATCTCATGTCTGATCCGAAACTCCCGAGAGTAATTATAATCTCGTTTCATGAAACAATCGAAAGCTAAGACATATTTTCATTTATGGTCACGAAAGTAATTTCAAAACTACAGACATAGTGTGTGTATACAATGCCTGAATTGACTGTACTATTAAAGACGAAGTGGTTTGCATGCGTGTTTGTTTGTAATCACACATCGGGAATACGAGATTAACTTTGGTTGGAAAATTATGCAAAGGCATGTGTGTGCAAGTTGGCATCGTATAAGGGCACTGTGTAAGCGGGTACTGAACCTAGTTCCAGATAGATGACTTTAATATCGGATTGTGATATCAAGATGTTCGGACTGGTTTCGCGCAACAATAACGCGATCCGTTATATGATGATACGAGTTAGGGGTTGGGTTACCCGTGAAGATCCGGGTTAGAACTGATCTTCAGTAACCCATGCTTGTCGTAAGAGGCGACTAACAGGTGGTCAGGCTCGCTGGCTTGGTTGACACTTGTCATGGTATCCCAATTGCATAGATCGATGCTCATGCTGCTGATCACTGAATTGTTTGGTCCAGACTCGATTATTTACAGACTGCCGCCATATAGCTGGAATATTGCCGAGTGTGGCATAAAACTAAACTCACTCATCGGGGTGGGGTAGAAAATACACCGGTACCAGTTCGATTCTGTGAAATGAATAGGATCCGGACACGCAAAAGGCACATAACTCTGCACAGATAACTGCGGCACATTCTATAACTAGAAAATATGTGCCTCTGTTCTTTCCAAAAGAGCAATACATATGTAATTAATTTCAATAAAAATACTAAAGATAGATATGAGATTAAATGATTTTCTTGTGGGGATTCCTGGTTAGAAAATATTCTGTTTTTCGTTTTCGCGAGTATTGGATGGTGTGGTCGGGATCGGGAATTTAGCTTGTAACATGTCATTGGAACTCACTGGCTGTTTTCCTGTTTTCAAAACAGACCGCCGTGACAATGCTGTAACGTTAATTGTTTGATCGGCATTCTACTAGTCTGTGTTTAAATAACGAAGTACACTACCTTTAGTTGTTATCCATTAAGTTGTATGCTTCGTTATTTGCTGGAACACTGCTGAAGAAACAAACAAACAAACAAACACAAACAAACACAAACAAACGTTATACGCTGAATGATTTACGCATCGGCGTATTTTCAGTTTTCTTCAGGAGTGAGAAATCTGAGAGAACAAATCTGAAAGGAGTCTATAGGTAGTAATCAATAATATTATTTTAATGTCTTTTTCTTGGCCAATCCTATTGCGATAATGTTTGTTTAATCTTATACACTTGCTTAAGTGCCACGAAGATTAAATAAATCATTATTGCAACATCCGACGTGGTTACGATTAACAGAGTTTACTTCACGTGTCATTATCCATTAAGAAAGATATCAGTTGATTGTTTGTTGCTATAACAATCCTGATAAACCAGAAAACAATCAGTTTTGAATACGCAACATCAGTTAAAACACTAACAAATCATATTCTTCTACAGTATGTTCCCTTATTTTATTCTTTCAGTATACATGTCATTTTTGACCATATTTTGTGAAAAAGTACTTTATGATATAATGTCGCCTTATTTGAAGACCTCTTGACAACATAATGGGAGATTAGGTTAAATCAATGGAATACATTATAACCTATGTTAACGTAAAAAGACAAATATCCGAGTAAACCAATGGACATTATTATTCCATGCCTTTAATCTTAACGGTAAATCGGATCTAAGTTTTAACACATGTGCCATTAACGACAACGAAAGTAGAGAGGACACGAAGTTGATATTTGTGACTGCAACGTAAACTGAATGATCAATACTAACGGCTAATGCAGGATTGTGGAATATGGACTTAAATTTCATCAATAATGGCATGAGAGGTTCAATTATTCGTCAAAGATATTAACAGTTATATTCATATTGAGTATTTTAAATTAAAGTCAAGCCCTGAAAATGAAATGTGATACCCGCATCACCATCGAATAATTAAATCTTGAGTGCTTTATAATTAGCCCTATTTTGTTTCACTTTACTTAAAACGAAATATAGGCCACGCCTGCTATCGGTCTACCTCATTGGTTGATATTATAAAAGGTGAGGTGAGGTGAAATTGGGTTTAAAGTCGTGCTTGAGAATATTTCGCTCATATGACGACGTGCATGCGTGTGTATGTGTATGTGCGGCTGCTTGTACTAGCCCAGACAGAAGCTGGTTTTATAGTGCTAGCCCACTGAGATACCATGCCGCAGTGAAGCATGAATACCCTACTCAGACACATTATACTGACTCAGAGTCGACCAGTCCTTGTTGTACCCATTAATGCCGAGCGCCAGGCAAGGACCAACAAGTACCATATATTAACGTCTATTGGTATGACGCGGTTGTCTAAAGATCTGTCGGGCTACTGAAAGAAAACAATCAGTGAAGTTACTAGTTTTGATGTTTTTATTTACAGGAACTGAATTTAATTTGTGTTACGTTGTTTTACAGTGTTTGCATGGAGGTGGGTTTTTTATGCTATTACCTCGATAAGTGAACCGCCTCCTTGGTGTAGTGGTTAGAGCGTCCGTCCGGAGAGCGGAAGGTCGCGGGTTCGATCCCCGACCGCGTCATACCAAAAGACGTTAAAATATGGTACTTGTTGGTCCCTGCCTGGCGCTCGGCTTAATGGGTACAACAAGGACTGGTCGGCTCGGAGTATAATGTGTCTGAGTAGGGTATTCATGCTTCACTGCGGCATGGTATCTCAGTGGGCTAGCACTATAAAACCAGCTTCAGTCTGGGCTAGTACAAGCAGCCACACATACACGCGCATGCACGTCGTCATATGAGCGAAATATTCCCCATTTCATCAAACCTCACCTCACCTCCATGAACGGAACCAACTGTGAGCGTAAATTCTTAACATGGTTTGAATGTTTTAAACTCCTCCTTCTCTGTTTCAGCAATGAACACATGTTGTAGATATGTGCCTCCGCCAACGCCAAGTAAGTACACATACACAAAAGTTCATTTAGGATGTGTAAAGTGCGTTTATTTCAAATGGTCAAAAGACCTGGGTTCGATATAATGTGTGAAGCCTTTTTCAGGTGTTCTCCGCCGTGATATCGCTGGAATATTGCTAAAAGCGGCGTAAAACTAAATTCACTCACTGACATGGTTGGAGCATGCAGTCGTATCGCATTTGCATAGCTAGATGCTAAAGATGTCAATCACTAGATTGTTTGGTCCAGACTCGACTATTTAAGACCGCCATTATACAGTTATTGCTGAGTGCGGGGTTAAACAACACACAGCCCCACCTATGAACGCTCGAAATATGAGCAGCAGATGACAGTGGTGAACTCGTCATAGCTCACGCCGTAAGACTGGTTGCACAAGTGTTAAGTTGCACGTCATGTTCACGTGTCATGACCAATGTCGGTCGTCAGGACAATGTTCAACCTTCATGTCATTGTCATGTATAAACCGAAACTGAAATACCCCTCATAGTTATATCCAATAATGTAGCTGTCAAATTTTCTAATGACATAAGTTCAAAGAACAATGGCAGTGACAACGATTTTCAGAACGCTTCCAAACATAACAGATTTTGCTCTGATACAGACATGACGCTGAATGTCTCGAAAACCAGTTTGTGATACTAAGGGCCTGTTCGATTATTGCGAAACTGGTTTTGGTTTTTGAAACTGGTTTCTCCTGTTATAAACGAGTGTCTAGTTTCGGATACATGGTTTCAAAGTGAAACTAGTCTCTAGTTTTATAAACGAGTGGATGGTTTCACCATCCGGTTTCAAAATGGATACCAAAAAAATGTCTCAGCTACTGTATATGTGGAACGAATTGGATAACAGCATATGTTTTTTCATTTTATCAGTGAATTAACAAATAATAAAGAGATAAGATGCTTTTGGAGGTAAATATTTGCGTATATGAAATTAAACTGTTACAAGTAATTATATATATACAAGTTGCATAAAATAGTCATGTTCAATAGACTGGGGTTTTGAATATATTTTTCTTGTTCTCAGTTGATTTTTATCATTATTTTGGTTCCAAAAACTGCTGCTCTATTTTGCCACCAAGATCAGCTGAACTTCGCGCTTTCGTTTCCGCCATGTTTGTTGTGAGAGAACGCGAAACTGAAACTGCGAAACCTGCCTCGGAGATGGTTTCGAAGTTTCAGAACCCAGTTTTAGGTTTCGACATAATCGAGTGCATTATGGTTTTCCCGAAACCAAAACCGGTTTAGCATAATCGAATAGGCCCTAACTCTTCTTTTCCCTTTGAAGCCGGTATCCCACGTCTGGCGATTGCGCAAAGCAGTGTCATAACCATGTTTGACTATAACGGCACCAATGTCCTCACGATCAACGAGCTGGTGCGAGCAATGTTTTACCATCCGTTCCAAGAGCGACTTTATCTCGGTACAAATCCAATCACGTCTGTCAAGCTGGATGGAACGGACGAACGGACACACGGGAGCTCATATACAGGTGATACGTACACCCGGATAATGTCGTAGTTTCCTGAAACCCGTTAGGTTTCCGGGTTAGAATTGGTCTTTAGCAAGCCATGCTTGTCGTAAGAGGCGACTAACGGGATCGCTTGCTGACTTGGTTGACACATGACATTGTATCTTAATTGCGTAGATCGATGCTCATGCTGTTGATCACATGATTGTTTGGTCCGCCATATAGTTAGAATATTGCTTAGTGCGGCGTAAAACAACAAAGCAACTCACTTTCCGGATGTATATTTCAACGAATTGTGGAACCTTGTTAATCCGGACACTTGTTTTTCGGCTCCATCTGCATCTCTTGTCCTCTGCATTGACGTCATGATGTGTCCATCTGTCCTTACTGTCGTCATGGTGACGCCTTACGACTTTTCTGTCCATGTTCCAATACAATCTGTTGTGATTGAAATGCATTTAAAATTACTGTTTCTATTACTGTGACGTCCTGTTTGTATTCCTGTCCGATCGAATGTCTATTTGTGTAATCCAGTCGTCATAGTGACGTCTCACAACCTGTCTCTCTTCCCATTCCCGTGAGCATTTGTCGTTCCCCTCGTCATGTTGAGGCTTTTTATTTTGTCTGTTAGAATTGTTTATATTGGTCGTCACGGAGAAAGAAGCCTGTCTGTCTGTTGTCGTGTTATTGGTTTCCGCTTTCTAAATTGTGGGGTAAAGAATTTGCTCGTCACCCAAATAATTCGTGATCTAGTCGGCACATGAGTACAATGCTCGAAGCCAATGTCTGGTGTCATCTGCCGCGATATTGCTGGAATATTGCGTAAAGCGGCGTAAAACTTACTCGTTCACTCTTCAGCCAGTCATCAGATCTGAATCCCTAAATCGTTATACCATCAGTAGAATACAATAATATCCGATGCCACTCGTACCATTCAGGGACAATCCGAATGCTCCCTTTAGTATGTTACGGGAAGTGTCGAGGGTTGACGGAATGTGCCGTTTCATTTAGAACCTACATCTTACAGTTTTAAAATCTCTGACACGTTTCAGGAACACTGATGGCGTTTGAGAACAACATGTTCGACGACAATATATACCTCTCAGTAAGTAACTACCTCGTGGAGCGTCTCACCCCTGAGGGCGTCATGAGCAACATCGCCAACGACGTCGACGTCTATAAACCACGCCAAAACAGACTGGACACCTTGAAAAAGTACGTCCGTCCATCATCCCGCCTTAAACAGACACCTTACCCCGTGTTGATTCGGGGTAGACTATATCCCGAGTAATCTGCGTGTATCGCATGACTATCACTGAATCTGGTGGTCACACTTGGCACTTGGTTGATTTTCTGGGACATTAATTTAATTCTTACACCTGGTTTAAAACTGACCGATGCGTTGCAGTTAAAATCGAATGTGAAGCATAGTAAAGTTATGAAAAATATTAAAACCAAGAAAAGACACTTTACCTTTTTACTTTGAATATCATGTGTATGTATTGATTAATTACCAATTCCAATGATAAAAATAAAGCCGGACTACTGCTGAGTGCGGCGTAAATTTAACTCACTCACAATCATCATATTCTTTTGTGTCTCTGCAGCGCGCTGTACTGGGCAGATGAAGCTCTTAAGACAGTCAAGTCGACGAAGTTGCCAGGACCGTCGCCTGTGGAGACGTTGTTCACGTCTGGCCAGGTCGTCTGGGGCATGGATATAGACTTCAACGGTTTGTGTGAAATCAATCAGTCAATCGATACGTCTCTGAATCACTCAATCACTCAAAAGGCAATCAGTCAATGAAATGGATGATGCATGGGACGTTGTAAGTTACATACCAAAGTTAAGCTTTAAGGACACATGTGCTCAGGGTAATTGGTTGATGACAATCTCGTAGACCTAGTTTCCCATTTGAACATGCTGACGTAATGAACCCGATTGCACACTTAAAAGGCATTTATGCCGCATTGGTAGACTTGTTAGCAAATCACTTAATATAATATACTCTCCCCAAAAAGAAACGCATCGTGAAAATAGCAATTTCATGTAGCAATGAATTAAAACGTGATTCATTTTACAAAAGGTTTCGCTCTGTTTATGAGTCCTATGGTGTTTATGTTTTGAAACATCACAACACCGTATTTAACAGCATGATTCGGCGTGTAGTGTCACAGAATACACAATTCACATGTAATGCACGTGAAAGTTGGGGATCAGATAGTCTCAATGATGGGTATAAAAGGTTGATCGCTGTCTGTCGATTATTCACTGTATTTGGAATATTGTTGACGAACGCAAAAAGCCACGTCTAAGTGAAGCCAACCGTCATATCGCCATTGGTTTGCTTGAAGCTGGACAGTCTATACGTGCAGTTGCCCGACGCATGAATGTTCACCAAAGCACCATTTCACGGCTCTGGGAGAGATATCGCCGGCAGAATGCGGTAGCAGATGCCCCTCGTAGTGGGCGACCTCGAGCGACCACTGCGGCGCAGGATCGCTACATCCGGGTACATCACTTGCGTCATCGAACAGCTACGGCGACAAGTACCGCTCGACAAATACCCGGATTGAGGAGGCTTTCTGCACAGACCTTCAGGAACAGGTTGAGAGAGGCTGGTTTACGTGCCAGAAGACCTTATTTTGGCCCTGTGCTTCGACAACAACATCGTCGACATCGAGTTCAATGGTACACCAACGTTCAGGCCTGGAACCTACCGAATTGGCGTAGAATCTGGTTCAGTGATGAATCACGATTTCTATTGGAACGACGCGATGGAAGAATGCGGGTGTACAGACGTCGACGTGAACGTGTCGCCGACGCTTGCGTTCCCAAGGTCGACAGATACGGCCGGGGAAGTGTTATGGTGTGGGGAGAGATCACCTACCGTAGAAGAAGTAATTCGGTGATGATCCAGGGCAACCTGACAGCTAAACGGTACTGTGACGAAATCCTACGCCCACACCTCCTTCCAATCATTGATCGCCAGACGGAGTTGTTTCAACAGGACAATGCCAGGCCCCACACAGCACGTCACACTAGAGACTTCTTCCAGAACCACAACATCAATTTGCTCCCCTGGTCCTCAAGATCACCGGACTTAAACCCGATCGAACATCTGTGGGATGCCCTGGACAGACGGGTGCGACGCCGTAACCCTCAGCCCCAGACACTTCAGCAACTCGCACAGACACTACAGGCAGAGTGGGCTGCGATTGGGCAGCACGAGATTCTGAGACTTATTCGTTCGATGCCGAGGCGATGCCGTGCAGTTCTGGATACCCACGGTGGTCACACGAGGTATTGACTTCAGCGCCACCACACGTCTCCATGTGACACTCAAACTGACTTTCCTCGAGTTGGTGCCAAAGACGGGTAAGTCTTCATTCCCAGTGTGCAATTTCGCTATATTTCATTGACTCAAAGCCTACAAGACGTTTCAAAATAAACATAAAAATACAATTGAAATTCCTATATGCGTTTCTTTTTGGGGAGAGTATACATATCACCCACAATTACAACATCATACTGATTGCATTTGTCAGATTTGCTAGTGACAGACACCGGATTATATTCTGAGTGAAACTGGAATTCGGTCGTGAACTCGACACATGGCACCACTTGGCCACTTCAGCATCACCTTTAAAATGACTAATGACCAACATCTGAACATCCGGGTTAGAATTGGTCTTCAGCAACCCACGCTTGTCCTAAGAGGCGACTAACGGGATCGGGATGTCAGACTGGCTGACTTAGTTGACACATGCCATCGTATCCAAATATCGTAGATCGATGCTCATGCTGTTGATCACTGAATTGTCCGGTCCAGACTCGATTATTTACAGACCGCTTCCATATATATAGCTGGAATATTGCTGAGTGCGGCGTTGAACAACAAACAAACAAACAAACAAACAAACAACTATCCTGAAATGCGAGGCCTAAGCACTGAGTTTAAACCCATATGTTGCAAACTTGTTTTCGCAAGCCGAATGTAATTTGAGTATAACTGAATGGTACGTAGATATAGGTGCTGTTAAAATTCTTTAAAAATAATTCAAACCTACCTTGAATGCTTGAATAATGAATGGTTTCTTATTTAGTTTCGAGTTATTAAGAATTGACTTTAATTTTGCGTGAGTTCATTGGAGTATGGTGTTTAGGGTCATGCTACGGTGAATTATAATTGTTTATAACATGTTTATGCCTCAAAAGGTGCTGATACTATTTAACGACTTGTGAAACTTCATGTGCACAATGACACCCTTACAAAAATGCATCCGTATCGCAATAGTTGTACTCTTTGTAGTATCTTCTGTTTGTGGGGCGGTGGTTAAAGCGTTCGCTCGTCACGCCGAAGACCCGAGTTCGATTCCCTACGTGGGTACAATGTGTGAAGCCCATTTCCGGTGTCCCCTGCCGTGATACTGTGGAGTATTGCTAAAAGCGGCATAAAACCATACTCACACTCTTTTTGCTGGTATATAAATCACGGCCATACTATCAAAGCCTAAAGGTTTACATGGGTTAATGAGTGAGTGAGTGAGTAAGTTTAGTTTTACGCCGCACTCAGCAATATTACAGCTATATGGCGGCGGTCTGTAAATAGTCGTGTCTGGACCAGACAATCCAGTGACCAACAGCATGAGCATCGATCTGCGCAATTGGGAACCGATGACATGTGTCAACCAAGTCAGCGAGCCTGACCACCCGATCCCGTTAGTCGCCTCTTACGACAAGCATAGTCGCCTTTTGTAGCAAGCATGGGTTGCTGAAGACCTATTCTACCCCGGATCTTCACGGGTCTCATGGCCTAATGATTTTCCCCAACCTATATGCACTCGGTCAAAAATGAAAAAATCAAAACTTGATTTTCTTAAATCAATGCTTGAAAGTCTTGGCAAAGGAAACACTCACAGTTATGATTGAGTACGGTTGTGGCAAGAGCACAAATATAACTGTTCACCGTCTCGTGATTAGTTTTATTGAACATTTGTGACATTCAGAGTCGGTTGGTTCCTGATAACATATTCCAAACATGTGATGTACATGCGGACATGCATGCTGCGAACATGGACGTGTTGCACGTATTTATTTAGTTTTTCATTTGCACGTTTATTTGTAATACTGCACCGAGCGCTATCAGAATAAAATCAGTAATTATGAAAATCATTACATTTTTGGTTTCGAGACCATGAGGACCTTAATAACAGAAACATGGAAAGTACACGTTTTCTCTTCCATAAAAAAATAATGCAGATATTTAGTGAGGTAAAACAAATAACCCAGTGCGCTGAATCTGGAGAAGTTTTGGCAGAGACGGATGATCAATAACATGAGCTTGGTGGCAACACAAGGTTCACGTATTTTGGATTGATTGGATTTCCAAACTATTGTCGGTTGTATTATCTACTATCTATCTCTGGATAAAAGGACTGACTGACTGAGTTGGTTTTACGCCGCTTTTAGCAATATTCCAGCAACATCACGGCGGGGAACACCAGAAATGGGCTTCACACATTGTGCCCATGTCGGGATTCGAACCCGGGTCTTCGGCGTGACGAGCCAACGCTTTACCCATTAGGCTACCCCACCGCCCCAGGATAAACAGAGAATAGATCCCGGGTTATAATTGGTAGTCAGCAACCCATGATTGTCAGAGGCGACTAACAGGATCGGGTGGTCAGGCTCGCTGACTTGATTGACAGGTCATTATGTCCCAACTGCGTAGATCGATGCTCAGGATGTTGATCATTGGATTGCTGAGCGCGGCGTAAAACAAACAAAACAAACACAAAAAACTAAACAGAGAATGTGTTGTGGGTACATACTCGATTCTTTTGAAGTTTGTGGCGGGAATCAATATGATATTTCCAATTGTAAAACTGACTTATATAAATCATTTCTTAAAAATCTTATGTCCTTGTTTATATATAGTTATTGGTTGAAATAAAGTAAAACGATGTCGTTTTTCCCTTTGATGAACTTATACTGAAATATATGTAAACGTGAAGACAGGACGCATATTACATTCACAAATTCGTGTGTAAATCGGGGCGGTGAGGATGGCCCAGTGGGTAAAGCACCAGGTGGTCATCATCCTAAACACTCTAGTTCCAGTCCCTGTTTGTTCTACACCATGATGTTGCTATTATTATTAAAGCCAAACAATTTTATTTAAATTCATTAGTGCTACTTGTTGACTGAATCAATAAACAGCTACCACTTTCCCGGGTAACGCCAAGGTTTTCAAATCTCGATCGCGAAAATATATTTTACGTCCGCTTCTGAAGGTTTAGCGTGGATGGGTCACGTAAAGCGGAACAATACTGTTGATCACTGATTTGTCATTAACCCTTATCGAAGTTTAGGATCATTAGCGAAATATAAACCTATGCAGTTACCTATATATAGTTGCTTATATCTGTTTTCCTAACAATCTACATGCAATAACATGGGCATGAGGTCGTTCCACGCTTGGCAGAGTTGCGTCCCTTTGGTATGTGAGAAACATGCGCATTACATTATAGTCTGTTTGCAGTGAAAACGTACCGATGAATTTCACTTTAAACAAAAACGTAAAGTGAAATTAGAAGTACGAATCCTCATGATTTTACCTTGCCAATTGAACATTTAAATCTCAGAATTTTATTCAACTTAGGATAAAAGTTGTTTAACAAACGATCATAGTTTCAAATCGCTATTGTTGGTTTGTATTGCAAGGGGGTATGCACGTTAAATGAAACACCGAGAAGAAGTAGGGTTGGTCTAAGTTAACGCTCATTACGTACTGCACGTGCATTTGTATCACTGCGTTTACTCCCTTGTAATACAAACCAATAATAGCGATTGAATCTATGATCGTCTGTTAAACAACTTTTAACCTAAGTTGAATAAAATTCTGAAATTTAAATGTTCAATTGGCAAGGTAAAATTATGAGGATTCGCAATCTTAATTTCAGTTTATTTGATTTACTTTTTTGTTTAAAGGGAAATTCATCGGTACGTTTTCACTGCAAACAGACTATAGGTTGGAATACAGCAGTGTCTGAATCTTGGCAGAGTAAACTGAAAACCTTGAGGGGGGAAGGCCCGGTTAAATTTTAACGGGCCGTTAACTAGTCTTAAACGGATCGTTAACGTTAGGAGAACGAAAGCCTGTTGCTCAATGTTCCGTTAATCTTTTAACGGCCCGTTAAGACCATGGATAATGGGTACATTAGCTCACTAACGTTACCATTAGCCTTAGTTCCAGATCTAGCTCTATGGTGACAACATGGCGTTCATTGTCCAGCCTAATGCAGCATTCATGAACATTAGCCCACAAGGAAAACTTAAGTGGAATTGCACCAAAGATACAGATTTTGGACAGATTCCATTGACTATGGCAGTCTTTGCCTTGTGTTGTTACCTCAGTGCTTCAATTCTGGCTAGGAATGTCAGCATTTTCGTGAAACATGGTCTGAATCACATTCTCTTCTTCTGCACTGAATTTCTTTTCTTCTTTTCTTTTTTTGAATAAGGTTTATTGAGGTATCATCTCAGGTGCTTGTGGCAGCGAAGCCATTTTTACATAGAATCATGGGATAATGTGCAAGGAATTGTGGGTAAAGGTTACGTCCTTAACAGGCTTATCATACCATTACTTAACGGCCTGTTAAAAGGACCTTTAAGCAACCAGATTTTAACGTACCGTTAACTAACATTTCGTTAGCTTTTTAATGGGCCGTTGGTATTTAACGGTATGTTTATATAACGGCGTTTTGAACAACCGGGCCCAAGACAATTAGGAAAACAAACAAACCGTAGGCCCACTGGAAAAACTTAGCTGAAGAGACATACTCTTGTAACATATGTTATATTTGGTAATACACGTTCTCGGTAAAGTACAGATTCCAGTATGTTTTGGTCGAGTCTCACCCCGGATTCGAACCCACAGAGTAAGTTAGATGGCTGACTTGGTGTGCTGGCGATTAGTGCGGGTTCGAATTCCGGATGGGACTCAACCCCAAATCAATACTGGAATCTGCCTTGCTTCCACATAAAACACCAAGCCGTGAAACAAACACATAGGCCTATTAAAATCTCTTCCCCCATACACTATATAATATTCAACTTACCTCTCTGTTCAGCAGTTCGGGATGCAGTGATGCCTTGAACGCATAGCCGCAAAATGATAATTCACTTGTACAAGGAGTTCATTTATTCATTTCCATTTCCCCATGCCTTTCTGTGACTATTTACAGATAAGAAGATCTACTGGTGCGCCAAGTCGACAGGTCAGGTATGGGTGTTCGACATGTCGACCTCTACCAACACCAAGCTGGTCCCCAACGGCAGCTCCGTGTCCGGTTCCTGCAGTGGGTTACGTCTCTACAACGACTTCATCTACCTTATCTACTACAGATTGGAGTGAGTAACTGACAAATTTATTGTATTTGTACTTGCCTTGAACCGTACTATATTCAGCCACACCAGGTGGGTCAGATGATACCCGATGGGCATCAAACCCAGTACAATGAGATCCGTGCACTACTAAGGGAAGTAACTCTCCATGGAGAATCATTTTACAGCATACACACTGTTGCCACCATAGTTTGACATTGCAACTTGTTCGTGATGTATTGTCACGAAATGTGGGTGTTTCTTTTAAGACAGTATACTGTTTTCGCCACTTTCTCCAAACACGCTGTGTTTTTCTCTCAAAGAAGAAGCCGACAATTAAACCGTTTTGACAAGTTTGGGGGAATTTTCCGCATGCCAAGTGGTCAAATTATATTTTTTGCAATAATTGATTATTTCTTTTTGTTTGTTCTGAAATTACTTTTACCAATAAAATCCCAGCGGCGGCACGTTGAATCCCATTCCCCGTGTTGTCGGTTTCTAAGTCATCACAGCAATAATAATTACATTTTTTACATTTTCGGAAATGAACCCTACTGACAAGATAACTAACCGATCCCCGTGATAGTTGTTAATCGTAAATGGTTTATACTTGAACGGTTTAGTTTGTTTATGTCATATCTGACTGGGAATGAATAAACTCTGTTCTTCTTTACAGTTACATGGAGAAGAGGTACAAGAATGGATCCCTTGCTGCGAAAATTCTTGAAGGCCAAATATCAGCATCGAAAACAAAATATTTTGCTATTGTAGAATGATGTTGAATGATTGAACTTGAACTCAACAAATTCTATGAACAATGTTATCTACCAGGACCTCGTTGCATAAATCGATAGTTTTGATACGACTGTCATCGGCCTTGACTAAAGTTAATCTAACAATGAAAGCTATAACACCGATCGTTTACTATTGAACACTCTGATTTAAGATCTGACAGTATCTCTACAGGAGGACTCGACAGGTAATGTTCTAAGCATCGAAGCTTCAAAAGGTTAGGCACGAGTGAGCGAAGTATTCTCACCTGAATATTTGGTTTTAAGTTATATATATTCCGAAATCCAAGTTAAACGGGCCAGTACCGGATGTAGATAATAAAAGCCAAACCATTTATACACTTTCGTTTCTTGGCTGGGTGTGGGTATATATACTGATGGAAACAATTAACGGAACACCACTTCATGGCAGTGTTCTTTATTTATTCTCAGATTTCCTCCCACAGCGCTATTCAAAGCTGGTGATGAAAACTTGAAAATATTAAAGGAACACTTGAAATATCCCGTGTTCCTTTATTTGTTTCTCTCAGTATATATCTCTATTCCTGCAAGTGTGTTTTCTTTTGTAAATATCGCTGTTCTAAGAAGCTCATTTTGCCCGGTAGTCAGCTTTCACTGAAGGTTCGCCAGATGTTCTATCGAAGGGTTCGTATTTCTTCAGGGACGGTGGGGTAGCCTAGTGGTTAAAGCGTTCTCTTGTCACGCAGAAGACAACGGGTTCGATTCCCCACAGGTACAATGTGTGAAGCCTATTTTTGGTGTCCCCCGCCGTGATATTGCTGGAATATTGCAAAAAGCGGCGTAAAACCAAACACACTCACTCAATCACTCTTATTTCTTCACGCTGAGGATATCGTATCGGAATAACATTTATGCTGTGCATTTAATCCGACTAAACTACGGGTTTGTGATGGTCTTAGATCTAATATAGATTTGTGGAGCTGGGTCCTGTGGATTACTGCAACTTTTACTGCCGCTACACAAAGGAATATCTAGGTCTTTTTATGTCTAAAAGCGGGATTGAAAACACATGTACATATGTCCTTTGACAAGAAGACTGTTAATGTCCATGATTGCGATATAAACTGCCGGGCAAATGTAAGCACATACCGATGTTTGATGGTGGCTTGAAATTACACAAAGAAGATGATGTATTTTATACGGGTATCATACTGTTTTGAACCAGCTTACATATTTCGGCCTGGTCAAGTTTTGATAATGTTTGAAGTTTGTGTTTGTTTGTATCAAATCCATTTTAAAGGCCTACTTTCGTTTGCTCGGCAGTTTGTGTTGCGATGTTACTGCTGTGATAGAAACAAATGATGTATTATGTATATTACCAATGTAGACGCAAGAAAGACAAATTTCCAGTAACTCGCATCCACAGGGTTTTATTCTTTTGATGGGAAACAATGATACCTTAGGCGTTGATGTAGAGTATACGTTCGACGTTAATCGTTAGACATTGTGTGAAAGGATAAGTAGACGAAAGGATAAGTAGACGAGTGGATAAGCAGATGAGTGGATGAGGTATGGAAAACTAGAATAAACAAACAATTTGTAGTATAATTTGACTATAAATATAATCTAAATATCATCTAAAATCATGTTTAACAATGTTGAAAACGTTGGAACATTATTTAAACACTTTCAGCATTATTGCATGTAACAATAGCAATATGAGGCCATGAACTTCAAAGGAAGACTATTAAACATTATATTTGCACAAGAAATAAAGATGCAAGACTCACATTTGTGTTCCCGTGTGCTACGTTGAAATTTAAGTCAGAGGAGACCTCTTGACACTATGGAGGCTGCAAACACACTGAAGCATGGGTTGAAAGTACCAGTACCACATGTGCTTTTTAGGGTCACATGACAGGAAAGTGGTACTATGGGATATGAAACATAAATTATGAAATCTTGAACCCTAGATGGCTGGATTACTATCAAGGGGGGAAATAAGTGACATTGGTATGATGAAGTTACAGGTACACTGTGCTACGGAGACAGTACAGATTAAGAAAACTTTTGTGATGCATATGAAAATTATGTGATAATATCTGCATGAGAAAATTGTACACAGAATAAATGAAATATATAATTCTTGCATTAACAACCAATGTAAATACCTCCTTGACCATCAAGCAAAATGTCTATTTGTGTTATACTACGAGTTCTAATTATGAGTGAATATAGGTTTACGCCGCTGTAAAATATTATGGCCACAACATCCCTGTTGTTTGTTTGTTGTTTAAGGCCAAACACCAGGGCCTTCTTTCACAAAGCACTAAGGTGATTGTAAGTCACTAAGGTAACCTTAGTGCAATGTTAAAGAATGGTAGTTAAGGTTAACCTTAGTAAAGGTTGCTTCGTGAAAGGAGACCCAGCAGTATTCCAGATGTAGAACTGCGGTTTGTGAGTCTGGACCTGAAGAATCCAGTGTTTAACATTTGAGCATGGTGCCATCTTTATGGCATACGACAGCATGCAATCAAGCAAATCTCGTGCCTGACCAACCAATTTACGACGTATCTAGGTGGATTGGGATTAACATCACCACCCAGACCCACGGTCGCGGAATCAACCTGGTTCTTCTGTCTGCCAAGTTAAAGTTCAAGTTATGTCAAACAAGGTTACCCAGTCCGCAAGACAAGATCAACTTATGTTGCATAAGAAATGTCTCAATTGTTTCATCTGCCAAGTTTAATTATATTGTATTGATATTGTATTAAACAATATACGGTTATTGGTTGCGTGGTTGACTTGTTATTGCCGGTTTATAAATTGGCCATACATATGAATCCCATGATTAAAATTCATGAACAAATTAATTCAGAAACACAGAGTTGAGAAATGGTCAGAGTATATAACCCCCGGCGTCAATACAGACAATGTGTACAGAGACTCAAGGAGCATGCAAAGGGACAACGTTTTACTTCGAGACAACTATACGTTCGATACAACCCTGTCTTACTGTATTATAACACTACACTCATTTTTTTGTTTTCGATTTCTTTAACTCAGAAAGGATTAGATCAACTTGTGGTCTTACCAATTGCCAAGGTGGAGAAAAAAGCTGGCAGAAAGGAGAGATAGTTTCGAGCTCAATGTGAGCAGCAGAAATAAAGGGAGAATAAAGAAGGCTTCTTGTTGTACATATCTTCATAAAAAGGATTAAAAACACAATTATATGCTGGGTTAGACTCATTTGAATACAGTTTTGTGACATATTGTAAAGCTAGTTTTATCCGGCGTTGTTTTAGCGATGGTTCATCGGCCTCAACGTAAAGACTATCAATAGGAGATGTCCGGAAAGATCCAAGACAAAGTCTTAGACCTTGATGGTGTACAGAATCTAATAATTTAAGATTGCTCTTGCAGGCTCCACCATAGATGATGGAGCCATAATCGAGTTTAGAACGGATAAGTGATCTGTACAAGTGAAGAAGGGTAATTTGGTCCCCTCCCCATTTGGAGTTAGAAACAACTTTCAGTAAATCCAGTACCTTCAAACATTTAGCTTTCAGATTTTTAATATGCGGTAAGAAAGTAAGGTGCTGATCAAATATCATTCCCAGAAATTTAGCTTCCTTTACAACTTTGATTGGAGTGCCCGAAAGATGGAGGTCCGGGTCCCTATGTGGTTTCGACAAAAATGAATGCAATTTGTTTTAGATTTTGAAAACTTAAAACCATTATGTTCTGACCAATCATTTATTTTATTAAGACACAGCTGCAGCTGTCTCTCAATCGTGTGCATATTTCTACCTCGACATGACACATTAAAATCACCTACAAATAACGATCCATCAACAGATTCATTTAAAACATTTGATAAGCTGTTTATCTTTATAGTGAATAACGTTACTGATAAAATGCTACCTTGTGGCACACCTTCATCTTGATCATAAAAACCAGACATGGTGGAACCCACACGTACCTGGAACTGCCGATCTGTTAAAAACTGAGATATGAAATGCGGTAAACAGCCTCTCAGTCCCATTTCATGAAGATCTTATGGAATTCCATATTTCCATGTCGTATCGTAAGCTTTTTCTAAATAAAAAAATATTGACACAGCGTGTTGTTTATTGATGATAGCATCCTTAACAAACGTTTCCAGTCTGACTAAATGGTCTATGGTACTTCTATGTTTTCTAAACCCACATTGAATATTTGCAATAATATGATTTCACTCTAAGTACCATATTAATCAGTTATTGACCATTCTTTCCATGGTCTTACAAACACAACTAGTAAGTGATATAGGCCTGTAATTTGAAGCATCGGAATGATCGCGACCAGGTTTAGGAACTGGGATTACAACAGCATTTCACCACGATGAAGGGAAATGACCCGTTGTCCAAATCTTATCAAATATATTTAAAAGTGTTTCTAAAGAGGAATCAGGTACATGTAAATGTTTAAGTAACTGATAATGAATGTTATCAGCACCTGTTGCAGTATCATGAGCTTGCCCTAAAGCAGTATGTAGCTCATAAATGGAAATGTCTTCATTATAATCTTCACCATTTTCAGAGTCAAACTAAATTTTCTTCTTCTTTTTTTTGGTGTTCTTTATATTTTTGAAATTTCGGTATATAGTTTAATGAAGAAGAATGTGTTGCTAGAGTTTCCCTTAAAGTATTTGCTATTTCATCTTTGTCAGTCAGTAATATGTCACCCTCCTTAAGATGGTGAACACTGGATTTGGAACCTTTCCCTTTTATTCTTTGCACCATATTCCAAACTTTAGACGTTGGTGTTCGTGAATTTATTCTAGAAACATAGTTTCGCCACGAATGACGCTTCTTTTGTTTGAACGTTCTACGAGTTTTTTGCATTTAATTTGCTAAAGGTATTTAGATTATGGCCAGTTGGGTGATGGCGGAAGTAATGTTCAGCCTTTTCCCTAGCTTACCGAGCTTGCCTGCAATCCGCGTTAAACCATGGTTTTCTTATATGAGCATGGATTGAGGACTTTGGAATACATTCATTAGCTGTTTCATTCAAAACATCAGAGACTACCTGAATGGAACCTACAACAGCACTAAACTTTTCAGGTTTGAGTTTACTTGTGCATAGAGTTAAAAACATCGACCAGTTTGCCTTTGTGAAATTCCGTCTTGTATAAGGCAGAGTATCAGATGGATTTACTGCTGAAAGTATGGTTGGGAAATGGTCACTGCCACAAAGGTCATTGTGGACTGACCATTCAAAGTCGTTTAGAAGGTAAGCATCAGTTAGAGACAAATCCAGAGAAGAGTAGGTGCCAGTAGCAGGATGCAAATAAGTATGGGAATCATCATCATTATACACAGGTCGTTATGAACTCCTCCCTCCCCAGAGTGGATTGTGACCATTCAAATCCCCCATGATAATACATGGTTTGGGAA